GGACATTTTTGTTCCATTTTTATGAGTTCCGTCCAGAATGGTTGTTCTGGAGAAGGTTGGTACATCCATAAAATTTAGTAGAGGGAAAATATTTCACTGTTGTAATTTTCTTTTCTTTTTATTATTGAGATTAAGTGTCCTCATTTCTTCTGTGAATTGCCCATTTTTCTGTAGGGTTTTTTAAGTTATTGATTTGTTAGAGCTCTTTACATATGAGAGATTATAGTCTTTAGTCTGTGATTTTCGTTACACAGGTCAACCCCTAACCATCAGTTTGTTGTTTGGCTTTGGTGATGAGACTTCCCTCCCCTGACCCATATAGAAGATTTCTGGGGTTTGTAATCAGATTTCTTGCTCTTTTTCTTATGTTTTCTGAATGATTAGCATGCTTAGTGAAACCCTGCTAAACAGAAGGGGCCATTTGCCACATGTTCCAGATAAGCATGACTTGACCTTATTTAGAATCTGTGCCCATTAGACTTGGTTCTATGTAGTAAGATGGTAGAATTGTATCTGATTTTTTTGTTTGTTTTTTGTTTTTACTTTTTTGTTTGTTTGTTTGTTTTTGAGACAACTTCCTCTCTCCCTGGAGGTAAGATAAGGAACAAGAAAACCATCCAAGCCCCCTCCTTCCCTCCTGGCAGGTTCTGGGTAGCATTTTAAAGAACTTGGTTTGCTGACAATAAAAAAAAAAAAAACAAGTTTAGGGTAATGCAAAACTGGTAAAACAAGACAGGTAATCTTGGGGCAGGACTGCATTCTGTAGGAAAGGCGAGGCTGGATAACCTGTTAGAAATGTGTATACTATATCCGGAACAGGGGCCAGGTTGAGTTTAAACTATTAGAAAAGCCACTGTGTGCTGAGTATTAAAGTCATCTTCTGATTTTCCTGCCAGAGTCCTCTTGCTTTTCTTGAATTTACACAAACAGATAGAAACATTCTGGAAAGAAAAGTAAGGGATCCTTGGAATGAGCCTTGGCTCTGTAATTGTGTCTTGGTACATAGCTCTGGCTGTGTAACCCTGGGTGAGACACTTGGCCTGGTGGCCTTGGACTGCACAAAAGGCAAATGTAAGCCCAGAACCTATGGTGGGTCATGTTGAAGCAGACTTCAGCTCAACTGCACCTGGAGCACCTCTTATCCAACAGCTAGGCTGTGGGAAATGAGGGGCCTGAGCCCCTAGCAGTTAAGTCACTTGTCCACAACCACATCAGAGCTAAGATTCAAACCCTGGACTAGAGCACTACACCGCTTCTCTCCTGATCACAAGTGGCCTGTTTATAGAGGCTCCCAGACCGACTTCAGAGTGCACATTTATGTGCATGTGGAGGGGGTTTCCTGCCGGTGACTCCCTCTGGGTTTCGCCTCCCACCGCTTACCTCGCACCCCTCTCTGCTTTTGCTCCACTCCCAGCTCCAGAAGTATGCTTTAGGCCCCACATTCCTGCCCCGCTGTTGAGCAGAAGCACTGTCCCTGTATGGTGCCCACGAGACACAATAACAACTGCTGTCGGGCTGGCTCCTGCTGACCATGGTGGCCTCGTGGCTCACGTAGCGCACTGTCAGGAAAACAAAACCAAACCTTTCTCCCTGCCACTGGGGCAGGGCTGCTCACAACTACATAAGAGCTGTCTTCAGAGCCATGAAAGCCAAATAACATGTTTTTGCATCTCAAAATACATATTAAATGACCTGAGTCATCGGGAAAGCTAAGAAACCAGTCGTGGCCGGCTGATGGTAAGCTGTTACCAAGCCCTGGCTCTGGATCTTCTCCATTTGAAAGCTTTACCTGAAAACCAGCCCGTAGCAGTAATAACTATCTTGGTCAGTGCTCCTAGCACTCAGTCTGCACAGATGCTGTCTCCCCCGACAGCAGCCCTGCAGGGGAGGTCCTACTGGTGTTCCCATTTAGAGACAAAAGAACTGAGGCCCAAGCCCTTTCCATATCCTCTGCTATCTAAGCATAGGTGCTTAGAACCAGAGCGTTGAGTCAATCTGAATTATAAGAAAGTGGATAGAAAAAGTTCCTGGCAGGAAATATGCCTCTAGGTTTACGTTTTCCACAATCCATTCACCTATTCGTGCCACAGAAGTCATATAAGCGCCCACTGTGGTCCAGCTCTGTGCCAGAAACTGGGGACACAGCAGGGACCGAGGTAATCTGGTCTCTGTCCTCTCAGAGCTCAAGTCTGTGGGAGAGACAGAAAACAGTTAACTATGTAACTATGATCACTATAACACTGAAGTGGACTCAGAGAAAAAGTAAAAGGAAGAAGTATGATTTTTATGAGCAGGTAAAAAAAACCCTAATATTTTCCCAACATTTTATATGAAAATTTTCAAACATATGACCAATTTAAAAGAATTTTACAGTGAATATTTATACACCTGCCACCTAGATTCTACCATTAATGTCTTGCTATAACTAGTCATTCATCAATCCACCTCATATCTAAGTATATTGTACATTTTTGAAAGACAAGGATGCAAAGCCATTGGCTGGAGCTAAGAGCGGCCATCTCTTTGGAAGTCCCCACGCAGCCCATCCGTGGCACCTGCTTGGCCCCTGTGAAGGTCAGAATTGATTACCCCTGGCTGCATAGTCAAGAGAGAAATGGTCACTGGGGGAGGAAGATCTTGGCTCTCTTGCTTTATTATTGAAGTCTAGAATGCATTATCTTTTGGGGGAGCCACTGGTAAAGCATCCTGGGAGAGAACACATTCCAGGGCTAGCAAGTTGCACCACCTCCCCAGGTTAGCCTCCGCAAGATGAGGTCAGTGACGCATCAGGTGAGATTCAAGGGTGGGAGGGAGTAGTTATCTCATGAATGTCCTAGGCAGTCCCATCTAGGAGGCCAGAATGCCCAGAATCAGGTGGGGCAGGCCACTGGTAGCCCCAGCCCAGCACCTCAGGGCAGCTCCTTGTGGCCACCCTAGGGGAGACTCCAGCGTGGCCCCATGAAGTGAGATATGCTCCTACAGGCATGGGAGAGAGAGCTGGTCACTGAGAGAAAGGGCTTGCTGCTCAGCCTGAGGATTCTGTGTGGGGAACCCGAGGCCCAACGACAGGCCTCAGGAAAGAGGATAGTGGAGGTGGCAGGGGGCACAGGCCAAGTGTGTACCTACGCAGTAGAGATTCTAGGGACCTGGTGGCTTCCAAGCAAGTCTAGGGACTTGGTAACCTAGAGTGACATTTAGACCATGGAGCCTGATCCTACTCATGAAGTCATGAAAATGATTAAAGTCCATATATTTAGGTTTGCTAACTGCATTCAATACACAGTTTTTAATTCCTGCCACAAGCCTATGAAAAGGTATTATTACTGCCCCATTTACCATGTGAGAAAACTGAGGCATATAGGTGGGGAGATTTGCTCAACTGGGAAGTGATTGGGAGTCAAGCCCAGTCTGTCTGGATCCCTAACCCACCCTCTTTCCATTAAGGCATTTAATTTATTTTTTCTTTTATTATTATTTCTTTCTCTCTGGAACATTTTATTTATAGTGTTAATGCTGTTTCCCCATGCACTTCTTTTAACAGCTGCTATTAGAATGTTCCAGACGGCTGGCCAGGTGTGCTGGGTCACCTTGGGTGGAATTTGGCCCACAGATGGCCCTACCTTATTCTTCTACTCCTGTGTGGTCAGTTGGCGTCCACGCTAAGGCCCCAGCCTCGTTTGCAGGCGAGGGAAGGCGGCCACTGGCATTCCCTTTTTGCGGTTTGGTACCCACTGTGGCCCGCTCGGGCGTCTTCATCCCCTGGGCTCTGGCCTCAGCAGTGAGGACAGTGAGTAGGTGCTGTCCGTGTTGAGGCTCTGAGGGCAAAGTCCATGTCGAGCCGGCGCAGGAGAGACTGACCTGTGAAGTTCCTCTGTGCTGAGCCCTCGGTCCCCAAGACCACCTGCCAGACAGGTCACAAAGGAGGGAGAGGAGCAGAGGCAGGCCACAGGCTGCTCACATTCCACATAGAGCCCAGAGTCCCAGACACTGCCGGTTTCTACATTCCATTCCATTAACTCAAAGGCGTCACTGTTTCAATATGCTCTTGTTTTATGAACCGCCAAGAAATGAAAAGCACTTCCAATTAAGAGCATTTGGATTCTGGAGATGAACAAAATATGTCTTGGAAGTGGATTGTTTTAAGTCATCCCTGTAGTACCTTTGTGTTGGTTCTGTTGCCCCGTTTGCTAGATGAGAAAGCTGAAGCCAGAGTGTGAAGGTATGCACACATGGCCACGGTGTGCAGAGTCAGGCACTGAGGCCAAATTCATGCTCCGTTAAGTGACTGGTCCCATTGCTGGTGTGTTCTCCTGGGCTCTTAAGCAGCCTAAGAACTGTAGAGCTTCAGAGCTGTCAGGCCAGCACCTGCAATCCTGGTATTGCATCACTTCTTCCTTATAAGCTGATGAATGAGAAGGTCATCTTTAATACATCTGGCCCCTCTTCTCCCACCTCGTAAGAGTCCTCAGTCTGCCTACTGGCCAGCTGCTTAATTAGCACTGATCCGCCCTGTTGGCCAAGATGGGTTTCTCAGACCATTAGTTCTACAAGTTACCACAAAGCTGTGCTGTCTAATACAGTAGCCACCAGCTATGTGTGGCTATTTAAATTCAAATGAGTAAGAGTTAAATAAAAGTACAAATTTAATTCCTTAGTCTTACCACATTGCAAGTGCTCAGTAGCCACCTGTAGCCTATATTGCAGATATGGAATGTTTTCATCATTCTATGGGACAGCTCTGTTCTAATGCAGAAGGGCACTGTGGAAAAAAGGGTTTGCACCCCAGATAGTCCAGTTGCATGTTAAAGGCTCTGACAAGTCCTGCAGTAAGAAAACGGTCTCTCATGGAGCCTAGCACACCAAATTTACTTGCCTAGGAACCTTTTTTAACACCTATAAATAGTTCTGCTTTTCCCAAAACACGTCAAGTGACTTCCTCTCCTGTCCCCAAGCCTCGATGGACTCTTTAGGAATCTAAATCTCATTTGTTTTGTCCCCAGATTGCCTCGGGTCCCCAGTGTTTACTCCCATCAAGGCGGACATAAGTGGCAACATCACCGTACGTACTTGGCCTGGCAGCTACAGCCTTGGTACTGCACTAGGAATCTAAATGCTCTGCTCACTGGCTCCTTGCTCCCCTGCACAAGCTTCCCAGGCTGAGGATCAGGAAGGAGACGTGGAAAACGGGCTTGGCCCCCAGCCCACCTGACTCAGGGCTCTTGGCTCTCCATCCTCCTGTGTAGTTATGCCACCCAGTCACAGCCTGTCTAGGACCACAGTCTGAGGGTTGACCAGCAAAGGAACCTACTGGTCTTGCATCCACCCCACTAAATAAACTCTGAAGACCATGGGTACACTGGCCTGCTCTTCCCTTCCCCAGTCCTGGGAGCTCCTGGTGCTGCCCCCCACTTACTGAGCCTCTCCCCATGTAGAGCCACGTAGCACCCAGCCTGCAGCTCAGCCCCACTGCATTATTTCATTTCTTCCTCCCAACATCCCTTTGAGGCTGGTTCTGTTGTCATCCCCATTTTACAGATGAGGAAGCTGAGGCTCAGAGAGGTTGAAGGGCTCACCGGAGGTCACACAGCAAGGAAATGACAGAGGTAGGATTGAGACCCAAATTGCCTGGTTCCACTCAGGAGCCTCGTTCCTAGATGTCTTTGAACCCTAAGAACCTATTTCCACTTGTCCACAACGTAAAATTTCAATTACTTGGTGTCTCACTTGCTATCAAGAGTAGTCAGAGAACTTGGACTTGGGAGCTAGCCTGTGTGGGAACTCGCTCCCACCAGTACCAGCTGAGTCACCTTGAACATGCCACTGCCCCTTTCTGAGCCTCAGTTTCCTCATCTGCAAATTGGGATGATGACAGAACAATATCGGGGTTGCCATGAGCATCAAATAAGGCAGCACCCGTGAAGCACTTTCCACGTCCCGGCTCATGTGAGGTGCTCAGTAAACGCGAGCAGTCGTGGTAATGGACTGCCATTCCGGGTGTTTCTGGCACTGGTGGGAAGGACAGGGAGGCCCTGGTAGGTGCTCCTCCACCCAGCATGCAGGCTGGCCGCCTGTGGACAGCCTGTCCAAAGGGAAAACCCCATGTGCTCCATTTCAGAAAATCAAAGCTGTGTATGACACCAACCCGGCCAAGTTCCGGACCCTGCAGAACATCCTGGAGGTAGAGAAGGAAATGCATGGAGCAGAGTGGCCCAAAGTGGGGGCCACGCTGGCGCTGATGTGGCTGAAAAGGTGATGGGCTCAGGTGGCGGGGTGTTTGTGGCTATGGGGCCTGGGGGCCTGCCCTGTAGAGGAGGGACATGCAGCCCTGCCACTGGCCCACTGTGACTGCTCTGACAGGGAAGGGAAGTCACTTCCCTTCTATCACACAGGTGCTCTTGTGTGATGCTGGTTAGTGACCAGCACCCCAGGGGCCGAGGCTTGCCTGATGGTGATACTCCTTTCTGGTCCCATCAGAGGCACAGCAGGCTAGTGCTCACCCTGGGCGTTGTGCCAAGCTCTGTGTAAGCCCGATGGCATTTCATGCGCTGTGAGCTAGGTGTGTGTTAGCCCCATCTCACAGAGAAGGCCATGAGGGCTTCTGGAGGCCGGATCGTGTGCCCAGGTTATAGGGACCGAGTAGCCGAACACACTTGTGCAGGTCATGCACTGCACAGAGATGTCCTGTCTAGGACTGGTCACATCATGCACGTGGTGGGTTTGTATATTATGACAGCTTCTTGACAGAAATATAGCATCTTGAGGAGAAGGAACTCTATCTAACTGGTACAAATTCACCCTGTGGGCTGAGGACAGGGTACCCTGATAAGGGATTTGAACCCAGACCATCTTACCCCAGAGTTGACACTGCTCATGCTATGCCTGTTGCCTTCATAGCAAACATGTGAAGTCACATACAGTTGTTCCCACTGAGGCTCAGACAAGCCAGGCATCTTGCTTGCTTAGCTCACGCTGCTCTCTACTAGCTATAGAATTCTTTAGCTGTGCAAACACCACAGCCCCTGGCAGCTATGAAGCCGGGGACCTATTCCCTACCCCAGAGATGTCCCAACTCCTCCCTGTCTCTGTCCCCATCCCTGAAAACTAGCTCCCTTCCCCCGCAAACATGCACTTCTTTGGTAAAATGGAACAGGGAGAGTCTGCTCCCTGGAGGGTGTGACCGTGTGGGCATCGGGGTAGGTGGCCTGTAATCGGTAACCTTATAGCGTGTTTTAGGAATTGCCCCACTGAGCTGCCCACCTTTGTTTGTCAGCAAGAGACCCATAGATCTGGAATGAGGAATGCCCCTGTGTCCATCTATCAGAAGGTTCTGTGGGTTTCTTAGGAGGAGCAAGGCAGGTGACAAAATTCAGATCAGTTAGATTGTTCATGTCCAGGTAAGATGTGGGCAGAGTCGGGCTCCTGCTAGAAGGGCAGTTGCAGGTAGATGCCAACAAAGCAAACACAAAGTGAGCACTTGCTGTGTGTTGTGCCTGGTGCCGAGCAAGTGGGATGCCACATTGAACGAGGCACAGTCTTTGTAGGGTATCACTGTCTGGGTAGGGTGTCAGGCTGGTAAGTGGATCCTGACATCAGAATATCAGAGCCTTGAACAGAGAGGTCAGGGAGGGCTTCCTGGAGGAGGACCTCACCAAGTAGAGTCTCCAAGACTCAGCAGGAGGGTCCTAAGTGGATGAGGCCTTGCAAAGATGAGAAGGCGGGAGAGGCACATTGTGTCTGCAGCTCCATGAGGGCCTGGTCCAGCCAGGGCTCTGGGTACAAGGCAGGAACAGGGAGAGACAAGGTGGGATTGGACAAGATGAGGACCAGCCTGATTGGGGGTCCTGGGGGTCCTCTGCAGGGAGAGAGCAGAGCAGCTCATCCAGGGACCCTAGAGAACAGTGAGGGATGGCAAAGGAAGGAGCCAAGATAGGGAGTGAGACGGGCTTGGTTCACATCCCAGCCTTTGACCGAGCCTTTCAGGGGTGCCTCAGCGTTCTCCTCTGTGAAATGGGCAGATCTCTCTGAGCTGAAGCTCACGGGTCTGAGGGAGCAGGAGATGAAACGATTCGGACTAAAGGACTGGCACTGACCCGATCTTTGATTTGGTTGCCCTGCCATGCCCCACACCTTTCTCATGGCTTTCAAAGTGTCGGCCCTGGAGGAAGGGCTCAAGTGACCTTGGAGGATGCAAACCATGGCTGAGGGGAGAGGCAGAAGTAGGGAGCCTGGGTCCAGTCTGTGTCCACAATGATGGGACTGCCTTGTCACTGGGCCCGCCCGGTGCGTCCGTGGTCTGTGGTCCATGAGCCCTTTCAAGGCCAGCACTGTTGCTTCAGTCTTCAAGCACTGATGGCCATTAGCCATGTGCTGGCCCGCAGTAGGCCATGTGGACACAGAAATGGACAAGTCAGACCCAGATCTTGCTCTCAGAGACTTTATAACCTAGCAGGGACCGTGGTCAGGGGCCAGCACCTGCCCTAGTGTAGACAAGGTGCTTGGGAAATGCTACACTGAGCCTGTGGTCACATTACATGGAAGTCAGGTATAGATACAACAGTTGTAGGATAACCACTCTCTTGCATGTACCTATTCCTGGCCCACAGTAGGTGCTTAATTCAGAGTAGTCAGGGTCTGCTGGGTGTAGGGAGCGCTGGCTGGTCTACAAGCAGGAGCGGGCAGCGTCCTAAAGCACTGTCTGCCTCCTTTCTGGGCTGCAGAGGCCTCCGCTTCATCCAGGTCTTCCTCCAGAGCATCTGTGATGGGGAGCGGGACGAGAACCACCCCAACCTCATCCGCGTCAATGCCACCAAGGCCTATGAGATGGCCCTCAAGAAGTACCACGGCTGGATCGTGCAGAAGATCTTCCAGGTGAACTGGGGGAGCCCCGTTTTGTCCCCAGGCCCAGGAGATCACCAGCTTGTGGGGTCCACTCCCCATCCTGCCACTGCTTAGCTGTGCCCCCTCGGAGCCTGTGTCAACCCTCCTGGGCTCCAGAACAGCTCCCTGTCTATGTGGGGAGAGGTTGGTACATCGAAGGGCCCTCTCACGTGCTCTTGCCCAGCCCCATCTGTGGCCAAGTTAGGTGTCCTTTTAGATTCTCTGTGGTGTCCTGGAAGGCCTGAGTGGGGGCTGTGGGAGCAAGCCCAGTAGAGACCAAAGAATGCAGGTTAATGGTGGGCTAGCCTGATTGGCCTCTCAGATTCAGCCTGAATCCTTGCTCTGGGCAGGGAGGGGAAGAAGGACCCCTGTGCCCACTGGAGCATCTGCTGAAAGGATGCTGGCCCGCAGGGGTCTTGGTGGCTTGTGTTGGGGTGATTGTGGCTTGGGCTCCTGGAAATGGGCTTCAGCACTGGCCTCATTACCTGAGGGCCCCTAGGGTCGCCAAGCTGAGAGGCCCACTTGGGAGAAGTCGAGAAGCCCTCAGGATGCCCTACATACTGTCACCGGCCACCCTGCCTCTCACAGCCTCCTCCTCTCACCCAGCCTGTTGTGCTACCCTTCCTCCTACAGCCACCGCCTGCCCACCCTCACTCCCATGAGAACCAGAGCCCCATGGGCCAGTCTCTCCCACATGGCACAGATCATAGACAGGAAGAGCCAGTCACCAGGTGGGAAACGTGGCCACCTCTGGGCCATCCACCCTGGCAGGGCTGGGACAGGGCCCGTCCCGGGTTGGCATCGTGAAAGCCCTGCCCTCCCTGGAATGCATTGCCCCTGTGAAGGCCTCACAGCCACCACCTCAGTAGTAACTATGTGCCCCGTATGCCAGGCCCGCGGCTGCCCACAGATTGTAATCTTCATCAGTGCACCATGCGGTGGACACTACCCTTAATCCCGTTTCACGGATGAGGAAACTGATGCTCAGAGAAGTTAAGTATCTTGCTCAAGGTCACACAGAAGAAGATGGGACTAGGACTCTATGACCCTGAGCCTCAGTCTCTTCATCTTTCACATGGATGTAAAATAGGCCCTGCCTGAAAGGGTCATTGTGAAGATTAATTGAATTGATCTGTATCCAGTGCTTGGCACATGGTATACATTCAGTAGATCAAAACTACCGTTTCCGTTCTTAACGACAGTAATATTTGTAATTCCTTCACCCTGTCAAACTCACAGCTTTTCTATCCAGTTGCATCTTTTCCCTTCTGGATCCAAAATTTCTGATTCTCTGAACAGGGAGGCCTGGATATTTGGGGAAGTGTCCCCCGCTGACAGACAAAAGAGGCCAACAGCACAGAGTACATCCCTCTCCCCTGATCGGAAAGTGGATTTTCCAAAGAAGCAGTTCACCTTCTCCAGAGCAGGGAACACAGAGAGAAGACGCTCATCCATGACGAGCATCTACTGAGTGCCTGATGCTGTGCTGAGCATAACTTCCTTAATCCGCACAAAATCCACCCGATCAGATGGGTGCTGTGATCATTCTCATTTTACAGATGAGGAAACAGGCTCAGAGAGGCTAAGTAACTTGCTCAAGGCTCACAGCTAGTTAGCTCCACAAGCTGGAATTGGAACCCAGGTCTGTCTATCCCCAAAGCTGGCATCCTTCCTGCTGTCCCTCGCGAGGGTAGAAGGGAACACAAATTGCCCTTTGCCTTCTCCTTTCCCTTCCAATGCCATGAATAGTGCAGACCCCTGCCCAGCACAGACCTCGGGGGCATCGCCCCCAGAGCCCCATCGTGCCTGGCATGGTGGCTTGGGTCCCCACTAACACTGCCACCTTCCTTTTGCCCGTCTCAAGGCGGCACTGTACGCAGCACCATATAAGTCTGACTTCCTGAAAGCGCTCTCTAAGGGCCAGAACGTGACGGAGGAGGAGTGCCTGGAGAAGACCCGCCTCTTCTTAGTCAACTTCACGGCCACCATCGACGTCATCTACGAGATGTACACCAAGATGAATGCCGCGCTCAACTACAAGGTGTAGGCATGCGCAGTGGCAGGCACGCCCAGGCCGTGCACCCCGACATGCAGCCACTTGCCGAAACAGACGAACCTGAATCACTGTGAATCAAGCTGGCAGGCCACCCCTGGCCTACCTGCCACCCAATGCCGAGCTCAACTACAAGGTGTAGGCATGCGCAGTGGCAGGCACGCCCAGGCCGTGCACCCCGACATGCAGCCACTTGCCGAAACAGACGAACCTGAATCACTGTGAATCAAGCTGGCAGGCCACCCCTGGCCTACCTGCCACCCCCAGAGCAACTCATTTTGACCAAGGTCTGCAGGGGATGGCTCTGGTTTTTTAAGTCATTTTTTGGGATTTATCCTAACAGCAATAAATAATGATGCTATTTCCGAATAGCCTTTGAATTTCACAACGGTACAGACTGATTTTATGCCTTCATTTCAGTGTGGTAAAAATTAATTAATGTTGCTAATACATCAAGTCCTAAGGTTTTTTGATTTTTTCTCCCATATGGAGCATGACTCTGGGGGAGCTGTGTCATACACCACTTTAAAAGTAAGCACGTGTCAGTCTGAAGATCTGGCTCAGTGATGTTTTGGGTATTTTAAGGATCATGAAGAGTTTGATTTGAAATTATACAGGACCCCCAATCCCACAATCCCTATTGTGGGATTTTTTTTAAAAAGCGAACTGGTATATATTCTTATGTGGTTGCACAGCCCAGCCTCACAGCACTGTCATTATAGACCCTGCTCTTTCTTACTGTCTTTTTCCAGACAGTCTTTTTTTATAGCTGAAAACAACCAGCAAGCCTTTGATGACCTGACCAAGGGGACTTTATTTTAAAGCTATTGGGCACAAATAATTGACCAGAAATGACTGTATTTGTATACTTGTGCATAATTATTTTCTTCAGGGACAGCTTTTCCAACCTAAGAAACTACCTATTGTGTACTCTCTCAAGGGGGACAGAGTGAACCCCTACAGTTGCTGAGACCCAAGGAAACGCCTCACTGCCTTAATTGTCCTTCTTGGGGCTAAAAAGAGCTGTATTTTTGAAAGTGGTAGGGGTGAATAGAGGAATCTCGAAAGAATTGATGTGTGTTAAAAACTCAATTAGGAACAATTGGTGATTTTTATGCAGAAATGTAATAATTCTTAATAAATCTCTATTTTGGAATCATATCTGTGCTGTTTTGGTCGAGTCTTTTTTTCTTTCTGGATTAAAGGTTACAACTGGAGGCCAGCCAAGGACCTGTTTTCTGGCCTTTGTGGCTTAAAAAAATAGAACTGGTTGCTACATTAAGAAACGGGAAATTTCACATAAAGATGTTGATTTCTAGCTTCTTTGGAAAAATTGGATTGCCCGGCAGGAGCTGAGAGATGACTGTCGCCTTGGCTAGACAGAGTGAGTGAATATATTTTTCACTTTGCCTCATTCCCCACCAATCCCTGTTGCCTCCCCAGCCCCGTGATCCCGTGATGATTTTCACTTTATTATGGGCTGAAGCTTTTCTTGTGATACTAGAGTTAAATGTAAAGGGAATATTCATTTTACTTTATTTCTGCTTCTGCAGAGCTGGTAGTCTTGTGGGCAAGATGGGCCAATAAATCACCAGTGCTGAAAAGTCAGTGCCCAGAGGGAGCCTGGTGTCACAACTGAGGAGCCATATCCTGAGGTGCACCTTAGGGAGTCAGGGTTTGCATTGAGCCTTGATGGAAGGGATAGGGTAGAGGTGGAAGCAGAGAAGGGGCAGGGTACACCTCAAGGCAAAGGCAAAGACCTGATGACCTAGAGCAGTCTGTGTGTGTGTGTGTGTGTGTGTGAGTGTGTGTGATATGTTACCAACGGATTTGAACTTGACCTTTGTGTGTGTGTGTGTGTGAGTGTGAGTGTGTAGCCTAGAGAGAGAGAGGCTACCAATGGATTTGAACCTGACCTTGAAAATTATGGAACACCTTCAAGGGTCTTGTGCACAATCCAATCAGATATCCATTTTGGAAGGCTGACTCTGCCATGACCAAGGAATGGTCACCTGAACTAAGTTTTTACTGTCTCTGATGTCATTATATTTTCTAATATTTCTGGTAGTAAGAATGCTACTTATCTTTCTAAGTCCCAACTGCTTTTTAGGGTTTTTCCCTTTGGGTTTTCTAGAAATATAAAATTCTGCCAACAAAGTAGAAGAATTCTGCATCTTCCTTTTTAAAAAGCTTTTCTTCGGATTTCTAATATTAAGCAACTAAGAGGGGGGGAAAAAAAGGCTAGGAGGACGATTTCTTTGCGGAAGGTCGAGATAATCCCAGGACAGCCTCCTTCACTCCTGGTACCTGCCGGGCCCCTGGGAGCACTCTATGTTCTCAGAGACAAAGCCAGCAGACATCTGTGCCTTCCTGTTTCATCCTTGTCAAAGTGGGACTGAGTTCTGCCTGCGGCAGAGAGGAAGGAATATATATGGAGTGCAGCTGTATACCAGGACCCACACAAAGCATTTACACACTTCATTTCACAAACCACCCTGAGATGTAAGCATCAGGAGCCCCATTTATCAGATGAGGAAACTGAACCCCCCCAGGGAGGTGAGAGGACTTGGCCAGGGTTCCCCAGCCAGGGCTGGGGGACACTGAAGCTTCACATCTGACTCCATATCTCCCCTCAGCTGTGTCCACTTCTGTGCCAGACAACAGCACACCTTCCTGCCAGGACAGTCTCACTATGAGAAGCCACCATATCTGACCCACATTAACCTGATAGTGCACAGAAACCTAAATGAGTCCCCAAATTTGACAAGGGTTGATTATTAATTTGTTCACTCAACTAAACCTCACTGAGCAATAGCTTGAATCATTAAAATACATATCTATTATAGACAAGGAACTGATGCTCACTTTACTGTAAAAAAAAAGCCTCAGTTTCTTTTTTTTATATATAACATAGAGGCCCTGTTAATACCCACCTCACTGGTTGCGAAGCTTAAATTAAATGTTACTATTTATAAAACAATTTGACATTTCTGAAGTCTAGAAAACTCTTAGATAAGACTGCACGGATATACTTATGTGGGGTATATGGCGATATGATTATTGGAATCCTGGCTCTGCTACTTAGTAGCTGAGTGGCCTTGGACAAATCACTTCACCTCTCTGAGCCTCAGTTTCCCTCATCTGTACAATGGGGATATTAATTGTTCCTAGCTTACTGAGATTCAATGAAACTGCCCGAGTAGGCGATGAGCTGCGTAATCATTCAGTGTTGACCCAATAATAATCATTTGCGGGGGGTGGAGGGTGATCGGAGAATGGTGGGGGAAGACATCCTCGGGTTTGTTGGTTGGTCGATGAATTTTCCTGGTTCACACAGCCCGACTTCGGGCTGAGCACCCAACTGCCCCCGCGCCTATGCGCTGACCATCTGCAGCTCCTGCGGTGCCCAGAAGGTGGCGGTGTCAGCACTGCGCCGAGGCTGCCGCAGCTCTGCTGGTCCGCACCTACCCAAGGTGTGTATGTTTGTGGGGTTCGGGGTTTCCAAGGGCTAAACAAGGAGCCCCATTGGAACACTGTTGGGAAAGTTTGAAGCTTCTCAAACTGGTGCTCTGGAGTTCTGACTTCAGGCCAGCATCTGGGTGGAGGGAGACCGAAGGTGTGTCCTGTTGTTTTCACTATTGTACTAGCGCCACTGACAACACCCCCACCACCTAACAATTTTTGGGTTTGACTCCAGGCTCTGTAACTGTGCAGCTGTGTGATATAGAGCAGGTCAATTAACCACTCTGAGCCTCAGTTTCTGCATCTGTAAGGCAGGACAGGACCACCTCACCTTGCAGGATTATATAAAATAATATGTACAAAATGCCCCACACATGGAAGATGCTCAATAAATGGATTTTATCAATATTTTTGTTTATTGTGATGCTATGGCCTGCCAGGGACTCCTTCAGGGGCAGCCCTGCCCCAAATGAAATTAAACCATAGCATGCTCCTCACTTCCTCCTTGCTCTTAAAGATGTGGCAGGGCCCATGTTGACACATCAACAGGAACACTTCGGAAAAGGTCATGCAATCTGGCTGCTATTTCTCTCTCTGCCCTGATCTTCCGTGTGACTCTGGGCAAGTCCCTGCTTCCCTCAACCTCAGTTTTCTCATCTATAAAATCAGGGGATTGGATAGTTTAAAGCTCCCTCCCAGCTCTGCTAATCTGTAATGAACACCTCTTGTCACTGTAACCATTCCCTGGTTTGTATGCATCATTCCACTGAAATCAACACTACCCACAAGCAGGAACATCAGTCTCTCTTTGTGACATCTAATGAGACCACGTATGCAAAGCCATTAACAAAGAGCCTGACACCTAGAGAGTGCTTGATAAAGGGCAGCTTTGATAATGGTTAATCACCTCTAGATCATACCCAGAGCAGATTGTCTGGAAGGTGAATCATTCACTCTTGTTTGCTGAGCACCTACTATGTTCCAGACCCTGGGCTAGGCTCAGGGGGCCCTGCAGGGCCAAGACAGGTAAGGTCTCACCTTCCAAGGGGCTCACAGTCCACTGGGAGATATTTAGATGGGAGAGGGTAGGAGGGCCTCTGAGGAGGTGACTTTTGAACTAAGAGCTGAAGGGGAAAGAAGAACAGGCTGTGGAAATAGGCTGGCTTCAGCTAGTGCAAAAGCCCTGAGGCAGGAGAGAAAACAGCATGTTCTAAGGGCAGAGAGGCCAAAGTGGATGGAGCCTGGAGATCAAGGGGTGAGGACAGCGAGATATGAAACCTAGAGATGCTGAGGCCAGTGTGAGTTTGGTTTTTGTTCTAAGAGCAAGGGACATTATAAGTCTCTCTGAGTAGAGGGGCACAAAGCCAGTGCGGAGTTTAAAAAGCTGTTAGCTAGGATCCTGGACTCAGAAAAGGGACTCTCTCCACCCCCTACCCAACCTCTGCCTCTTCCTGGCTGGAAAAGATGGGCTTTCATGACCTACGTGCTGGTGGCGGGGATCCCAGGCCTCTGTCAAAGTCATGGGCCTCTCTCCAGAAAGTGCTCATTGGCCCCTCTTACAATTTCACCCACTATTCTAGGGGCCTCCATGTACCCCTCAGTGGCCCACCCAGGACGCCCTGAATTACTGGGACTGCTGGCACCAGCCTAGGTGCCCCCCTCCTTCTCTATGCCACAGTTTCAAATGAAGGCTATCTTTGAAATGCCCATGGCCGGCCATGGCCTGGCCACACCCACAGACCACAAGGCCTGCTGCCCAGAGGACTGGAATCACAGCCAGTGGCTGAGCAGCTGAGAGTGGCCGTGCCCATAGCAACAGTCATCTAAGGGAAGGGCTTCCTCTCCACCTGGCCTCAGGTTTCTGCCCCAGGGAGAATTCCAGAAGAACCTCTTTGAAGGTCCCTGGCAGGGCAGGACCTCCGGTCTCTGGGACCAAGGCCAGCTACGTGCAGGACAGAGGTAGACAAACTAGCCGATTGTCTCTAGTCTCTTTGTATCCTGTCTCCATGGCTTCTTGGTAAATGTAGGGGTGTGTAATGGGGGTGGGGGCTGCTGTCCATGGGGGCAGGATCCCAGAGAAAGACCATCAGACCCCACGCCCTCCTGGCTATGTGACCTTAGATAGGTTCCTTCGCCTCTCTGGTATGCCTCCTCTCCTGTAGTTCCTCTCCTGTAGCTGGAAGAAATCCCTACACAACACCTGGAACACAGTAAGTGATAAAGCCCTACACAACACCTGGAACACAGTAAGTGCTGCATAAATGCGTACACGCTAGCCTCCCACCCTCTTTCCCCACTTGTTCCCTCTGATTTTTTGCCCTCATCATCTCCACCCATGGCACTCAGTGGAGAAAGAGCAAAAAGGCCAACCAGAAGTTTTCACCCCCACCATCCCACACTCCTAATCTCATCCAAGTGGGTGTGAGCAGGTCTTCCCACATCAGAGGTGAGGGAACTAAGGCACATGGGGAGGGGCCAGGTGGCTGCTATAGGGGCCATTTGAATTTAGATGGTCCTGGGTTCAAATCTGGAATGTACCACTGGCAGGTATGTTGGGCAAAGGACTTTCACTGTGTAGAACCTCAGCTTGTCCATCTGCAAATGTGCTGAAGAATACCCACCCCTCAAGGTTGTGGGGAGGAGGGGAAGAGATGGCCCAGGTCTTCAGGAACCCAGCCCGATGTGGTGGTTTTGGCTGT